ACATAAGATTTTTCATACATAAGATATTTTGACAGACAATATATATTTGTTTTTTTTGACTGACGTTGGAAATCAAATCCTAGTTGAAAGTCATTTTTAAAACTCCTGGAAAATACTGCAGCCTAACATCTAACAAAATTTCACTACAGGTCAAAGAACTTTAACTGTTAGCACATTCAAATGTTTCAGACATAAGAAAAAAAGTTTGACAGATCTTATGTAGGAAACATATAAGTTAAAACTATTGCTTGAATAAAGTTAAATGAAAGAATCAACATGTGTTTTTTCTAATGCACAGCATGACTTACAGTTTTAACTGGCATATATTGGAACCTACAATGATTTTGAAAGTTTTTACAGCGATGTTCCTGACATGAGATTTATTGACAGACACTGAGCTATAAAGCAAGATATTTGAAAGTGAAAAAAAATATATATCACAGATGTTTTTGACTAAAAAAAGTAACAAATTTGGGAACAGGGATGTTTGAATAACCAGACTACACTAGTAAATACCAGTATACAAGTGTCAACATAAAGCATTGCAACACATAAACATTGTGTAAAAAAAATGGGAGTTAATTCTGTCAAAATTTTTGCATTTCTTCAACTTGTTTTAATCATTTCTACTTTAAACGGAAACAATCATATCCAAAAATTATTTTTATAATTTCTTCTAACATCATTATTCCTCAAAACATTCACAGATCATCTTTAAAATAACAGTAATTATTATTTTCATTTATTTATTCATTTTGACAGACATTTCAATTTCTTATATGGAATCTGCCGTATGCCCTTAATCTTGAATGTAATGCATTGTTTATGCTAAATATTTGAATTAAATATGGAATAACAGTAATTCTGTATAAAAATCTTACATCAAAAAAAAATTCTACTGAAAGGTTGTAGACATTCCAAAGAACCTGCGCCACTTCCAAATTGTAAACCTGCATATTGAACTTGTCCTTTGTGGCTTTTCTTTTAGCTCCTGTTAAAAAATAAAAGATACATTATATGTACATTAGGCCTAAAAAAAAAATCTGTGTTTCCGGTAACATCATTTTGTTAAATAGGGTCGGTAGGTCGGATTTTTTTTTTTTTTTTTTTTTTTTTTTGACATTGTAATCGAAATCCGGAAAATTATCATGGTTTTTCCAAGTCCGTGTCCGTAATTAGTTTCAAATACCGGAAGTGCGGCCATTTGCAATGTTTTGAAGCACCTGCTGTGCAAATTTCTTGGATTTTAACCTATTTGGAATACCTTTGACATAAATAAATGTTTTACTGGCTTTCTGTGCAGTTAGATAAATAATTATGTCGATTAACAGAAGCCTGTGTCAAAAACAGGGTCGGTTGATACCAATTTTTTTTTTTTTTTTTGAAAGATCCAATAAAAAAATTAGGGTCGGGGCTAAAAAAACAGGGTCGGTCGGGTTACCGGAAACACAGATTTTTTTTTTCGGCCTTATGTGTATGAAGCAATAAATATAATTTTAAGCAACAGTTTATATTATCTTGCTTGTACTGAAGTCTTACATAGTCTTTGTAATGTTCATTAAGCTGTTAAGGGAAATTTAATTTACTGTTTTGCAAATACATACATACACTGATTTTACTAGAAAAAAAAATCTCCATATTCAAATGGTGCTTATATTAGTGTTATTGTAACTTGTTTGTGTGCCTCGGAAACAAGGTATTGAGTCATGCTTACTGCAATAGTTGTTGTTGGTTTAAGTCTGTCAAATTTCTTTTTCATAATGTGTATTTAATGTAGGCAGTTAGTTGTTTTGTTTCAATTGTGTTGAGAAAAATTTAACATTTGTTTGTCAAGGCTTCAAAGTGGACTATATGGCATTGGTTTTCTCAGTTTTGAAAGCCGTACAGTGACCTATAATTTCTTTTATCCAAGTCATTTAAATTCTGGTGGATAACTGTCTCATACACCTTATCGCTATTTCAGTATTTGGAAATCTGTCCCGCTTGAACTTTTTACGTCAGCATACGTCATACAATAATACACCTTATCGCTATTCCTGCTTGACCCGAGAATCTATCCTGCTTGAACTTTTGACGTCAAACAACAATCACTTTTCCATTGTGGCATCAGATATTTTTTATGATGACGTCAAAATTTATAGGGAACTTGTGACAGTTGTGTGATGTCCAGTAATGGTGGACAAATAGCAATAAGGTGTATTACTTTCAATTGTGGTGTCAAATATTTTCTAATATGATGTCAACATTTTACGGGAACTTTTGTGATGTCCATGGCCAGTAATGGCGGACAAATAGCGATAAGGTGTATTGGCAATCAAACACACAAGCCACATATCTTTATAATTTTTTTATATCAATGAACAAATACATAATTGGTGTACGTAGATGCTTGATGGAGCTACTTATAAGATAAATGTATAGACTATTTACAAGTATCACTCCAAACGTTTGCTTGCCTTGGGCAGGGGCCCCCCTTTTTTCAAAACCTTGATCCGCACCTCCAGAAACAGATGTAATTTGGTTCCGATTATGATTGAACACACACAATGAATGCACAAGTTTCATCTTAACAGATTAATCATTCTTACCAAGTGACTATATATCGCGTAACAAACAATTTTCTTGGCTCTCTTTGTTGATATCCTGTCTTCGTTTCGAAATTCAAATTTCAAAATCATTTCCGGTGATAAAACAAAAGTCGATTCCGGAAAAGGTCGGTTTTCCGTAAGGCATATAAACGATACGAAAATTGAACTTAGTACAGTTACAGTTTTCATTTCTTAATTTCTAAAATATACACGAACGAAATGAATAAACATTTAAGAAAGGTGATTGTTTATTAATACATTATTGCTTAATTTAATGTTGACTCTTTTGAATTTTAATATAAGAAGGAATAAAATCTGACTTCAAGGATCTTCAAGATATCAATTAAGGATTTTAACCATAGTATCTTGCTTGTCATGATATTGATGAAATGTAGTACTATATCATATCCTGAAAAAAAAACGAGCTAATTCCACAAAACGTTGTTTGTGGGGTTTTGAATAAAGTTTAAATAAAATGTTATTTTTATATCCGTAAAATGTTGAATAAAATATCAGTAAGATTATTAAGTAATGTATGTGTCAGAATATTTTATAGAAAACATTTAGCTGATATTTTTCAGATGTTTTATGTAAAACATTTTAATTTTACGTTATAAAACATTTTATGCAAATAGCAAAACTATATTTTCTGTAAAACATTTTTTTGCAGAATGTTTTTTGGATATTTGGAAAATATTTACTTTAAATGTTGTTAAAATATAAAATACCAATTGAAGAAAATATTATTTTTTTATATTATAAAATATCTACGGGATATTTTAGAACAATGTTTGAGAACATGAATAAAAGATATTAGCAAATAATATTTTGTTAATGTTGTAAAAACATTTTACTTAAATGTTAGAAATAAAACATTTCAAAAACAATAAAATAAACATTTTTTTTATGTTTAAATGATATCTTATTGAAATATTTTGTGAGAGACGTCCATATAACATTTAAAAAATGTTTTTAAAATGTTGTGTGTTTGCTGGGTAAGAGGGTTGACGCGACCTAACGCAAGAACGATTATGGTAAGGAATTTGGGCAGGTTTAATATATCCTGGCGGTAGTTGACGTCTCTAGATCATAGTGATCAGGGGCGGATCCAGTCATTTTTAAAAGGGGGTGAGGGGTTCCAACCCAGGATAAAGGGGGAGGGGGTTCCAACCATATGTCCCCATTCAAAAGCATTGATCGTTAAAAAGGGGGATTGCCAACCACTCCGTCTTTGTTCTTTGACCACCCCAGTAAACAATCCAACGTTGACATTACGTTGTGACAACGTAACACTATCGTTGTGACAACGTAGTAAAATTACGTTGGTACAACGTAATTTTGTGGACTCCAAGGCATGTGCTGACAACCATCCACACAACGTTGGTACAACGTAATTTGTGACGTAATTTATTACCATCATAAGACGTTGTCACAACGTCGCAACACAACTGTAAATGTCCCTTGTCCTCATTTGATTGATAGGAGCAATAAAATTCCATTGAAGAAGTAAACAAGGAATATATTTTATTCTTTTGACCTGTTTTTTAAGTTGTAAATTTGTCTATGTAGGAAAGATGGGCACAATGTCGATATGTACTCTTATTTCCAAACTGCCAGCTGTGTATAATATAGTCACAAAGTTGTTTTTTTACCTTTTTGCCAGGTTTCAATGTCAAATGTATAAATATTTCGTTTTCCCAAAAACTTTGCATTATGTTTTACATTAAACCTGTAGTTTTGTCCAATTCATGTTTCACACAGTTGTTTAAGGTTAAAGTCTTAGTTTTTAACTTTTGCAATACTGAAGTACAAGATTTACACATTTCCATTTAACAAAAGCAACTTTTCTTTAAAAAATTTAACACATATTACTATTCGAAAAAGGAGATTTTGTATGATGGCCAACGAGACAACCCTCTATCCTAAAATCAAATATTGATGATGTTAGCAATTATAGGTAACTGTACAGCCTTCAACATGACATCTTGGTACATGCTGCAACTTCTGAATGTTTAGGGTTTCAGTGTTCTAGAATATAGAATCACTATGATGGTGGAAATTCTAGAATGTAGATTTCACTTTAACGAAGGAAAACATTTTCTAATGAATTATTCAGAAATACAACAAACTACCACATATACCTTAATATTTACTGTAGATTCATTCAGCTGGATTCACTACACAATGACAAGCTAGGAAAAAAGTTTGGAAAAAGGCCCAAAAGCTGACTTTCTAATTTACAAATATATATTCTACACAACTTATACACTTCTAAAAATATCCCAAATGAAGAAAATACCTGAAATACAATCAAACTAACTATTGCTTTTTTCCATTGACCAACTAGAGATAGACCTATCCAAAAGCTAAGACTTCTTTTTTTTGGCTTCATGAACCAATAAAAAAATAATAATATGTTTCTGAATTTTTTTTATTTTTATTCCAAATTTTAGTCTTGTGTTGGTTGTATACATGTCATTCCAAATTTTGGTTTTCTGCCCTCTGATCAGCTGGTCTTGTGTTGGTTTCAGGTCTCTGAAAAATAAATAATCATAAATTATAAAATACAAATAAAAAACTGATCCCAACTTATGAATTACAGCAGTTCTTAAAAAATATCCTGTGTGTAAACATAATTAATATTTTTTCTATTGCTGGTCGTATAATAAATCTTGCAGATTCATAATTATGTTGTGCTGTTACTGAGTCAGAGATGTTTGTATCTTTGCCAATTATACACATTTTGATAATGTATGTTAGAAATTTTAAAATAATTTCAACAGTATATAATAATTTATAACTTTTGGTTAACCTTTGTTCTTATTTAAAAAATAAATTTGTTGTTAAATTGAACATGTGTTAATGAAATTATGGCTGTTCCAGAAAATACTATGTCCGCCCCCCAAGGACGGCCATTTTGTAACCCCTGCACCGACAGAATTAATAAACTGCTTCGCTGTGCGAAGCTGGATACGCCCGCAGAGGTCCAACCCTGAACAGTTGGGGCAAAAATGGACACAATATTCAGGCTTGATACAGGTCTGAATTTGGATTGAAATTAAATATTTGACATATTATAGGTTTCTGAATAAATGTAGTCAAAGAACTTGAAATTGGTTATATGAATTGAATTTATATTCAATTAATATAAAGATTTCTTGCTGTTGTGCAATACACTGTGCTGTTGCGCAATACTTAGTAAATCTGTTGTCAGACTATAAACAAATAAAGTTCAATTAATTCTCAATGTCATATTAGAAATTATGAAAATCAAAAGGGAGCTTACATCAATAGATATAAACAATTCACCAAAGTTTCATGAGAATTGCTGACAGCATTTTTTGGGTTATTGTCTGAAACTGGAAAATCCCCGCTTTTTTAATGAATAAAACCCCATAACTCAGAAATGTAAAATGTAAAATTTATAAAATTCTAAAGGGAGCTTACATCAATAGATATAAACAATTCACCAAAGTTTCATAAGAACAGCTGAAAGCATTTTTGAGTTTTGTCGGAAAACTGGAAAACCCCCCTTTTTTATGAATAAAACCCTGTAACTCAGAAACGTAAAATCTAAAATTTATAAAAATCAAAAGGGAGCTCATGTCAATAGATATAAACAATTCAATACATTTTGTTGCAAGTTGGTGAAAGCATTCTTGAGTTATTTTCCGAAAACTGGAAAATCCCCCTTTTTTTTAATGAATAAAACCCCACAACTCGGAAACGTAAAATCTAAAATTTATAGAAAAACGAAAGGGAGCTCACGTCAATACAATTAAACAATTCACCAAAGTTTTATGCAAATTGGTTAAAGCGGTTTTGAGTAAATGTCCAACATGTTGATGACGGACGGACAGACGGACAACGGTATACCATAATACGTCCCGTAAACGGGCGTATAAAAATAAATATATATAAGAACAACACTCCCATTGCATTTTGGTATTTCAAATACAACCACCCCCACATAAAATTTAAAAAAAGAGCCTTCCCTGGGGGGACATAGTATTTTCTGGAACAACCAGTAGTTATTCTACAAATAATGATGAATCCAAATTAAAAAAGGAAGTTTGGTTTCTCAAAATTGTTATTTATCAATTAATTTTAGATATTCATAGGATTTTACCTTAATACATTTAGAATTTACAGCAATCAGGGGCGTAGCTACCTTCTTAATGAAGTGGAATCACAAACTAAAGGGCGAGGGGTCTGGGGGCCACCTAAGGCCCCCAGTAGGTCCAGGGCAAAGGTCCAGGGGCGAAGCCCCCCCCCCCCCCCCCCGGAAGATCTGCATTTATAGCATTTCAAAACAATCACAACCGTAATAGAAATTGTACATTTTTGTTGTGGTTTTTTGGTCAACTATTTGTTTAACTTCGAGTCGAATGAAGACTAAACATTGTCGTTTGCGTTTTTTGTACGCCGTGAGAGCTTTTAAAATCATGGAGATTTGTCCCATATGCTAGTATTGGTATTGAGCAAAGTAGATGTATAAAAAAAAACAATAAACAAAACACAATACTATATGTAGAGTTTCTGTTAGAATAAACATCTTTGGATACCAAATACTTGGTGGACACATTCTACAATATTTTGCTGAACATATGGATTTAGATGTTTAAAAATTCAGTGGGTAAACTCTACATGCAAGAGAGAGATAGGAATGTCTAATTTTACACAGTTAGGAATTCTCGAAGTTGAAATTAATGAACTTTTTCAGAGGGAATGGTACTTTGATCAAGATCTTTTCATGATCTGCGTTTGTTAATTATCCAGCTAATTAACAAATACATGTGCATTCGACAAGTTGTATGGCAATATCTAGATGATAACAGTGAAGATACGTGTATTAAAAGTTTGGTGTTTCTTTTGAACACGAATCAGCAGTTTAGTGTCCGACTCGGACAGAAAATTCATTATAAAATTGAATGACCAAATAATCCAGTAAAACGAGTTAGAATAAACAATTTATTTAAATGCTTTTACAGTCAACTATTCGTATAGCCGGCCCATATAGAAACGGCTTCGAATTATCGAATCTATATACAAGATGTTTTTTTGTAAACGTAATACATGTACTGGAAAATATGTACTTTCTTTATAATAACAGCAGTTCCAACTTCTCATCTATTAGTGTACGGAAACTATTGATAGATCGAATGGTTATTAATGTCCAGTAGCACATATTACATGCACACAAGGACGGGAATACGTTTACGTGTTGTGAAAATGAAGCATTCGTGTTGTCAAGACCTACATACTTGGTCAATTTTGAACTAGTTCACAAGGTAACAGTCATTATTCCCGGATCGATACGAGTTGAAGTCTTCGTTGTAGTAAGATGTGTGTTTTGGGGCGAAGCGGAAAATAATAATTTTCAAGTTTTTTGGTTAACCCTAAAGGGATTAGGTTGTTTTTTTGCACTCAAGTCGAGTATACGTTGTGGTGGTACCGACAATTATGTAGCTGTTTTTTTCCCCTAAACAATGTCCGTAATATAAAAAGTTCCGCCATGTTTACTCCAGTTGTATGTATTTATCATACACATACATGTCTTACAGGATTAAAAGTTTCGCTGCATGCGTATTCCTCTTGCTCTTATTCTTTGTGTAGTTTTTAAAATGCATACATAGAAAGACTAATTCCTATAAGTTTACTTTCTCTCTCTCTCTCTCTCTGTTTTTTTGTTGTTGGTGAAAACGACGTGGTTGCACGTGCTGTCATGCATCCGGGTAGCTACGCCCCTGGCAATACAGCAAGACCTTATATCATATGCCAATGAACGCAATCTATAAAATCATCAAGTTATAATTTGATAAATAAAATTAATAAAAGAAGAATGTGTCTATGAGCCACAAATGATGTTATTAAAGGAGATAACTAAAGAACAGTAAAACAGATGCTCTTCAAATTCAAACTCTGCGTTTTATGATAATAAGCATTGTGTATAAATTTCATAACATGTTCAGGCAAACTAAAGTTAGAGAACAGAAACCAATTTTGAGTTCAATGTATGTACGTACAGAACAAGAGTAAAACTATATCACTCAGTGAAGGAGGGCATAAAAAGAGCTGATCAACTGATGTTTACCTTTTTATATCTTGGTCCATCTTTTAGAGCTGGTGCATGCTTAAGTGTTACTGCAATGCATTCCTCAACCTCAGACACATTGGATCTGTGAATTTTTATACAAGACTCTGGAAAAAAAATTATAAATACATTCAATTATCTTCTATATTCCTCCGTCTGTTTACATGAGTGTCAGTCCAACAAATCTTTGGGAGAACTAGGTAAGTGACAAATTTACATGCATTCCAAAATTCATAAGTTTTATGATTGATTACGACATTGTTTCTGATCACATATTTAGTGAGAGTTGAATACAGCTCGTCATTGATAAACATTTAGATTTCATACCATAAATTGAACAGCAAAAAAGACGTCCCTATATACTGGTTTTTCTAACACCAGTAAACTTGGTTTTACCCTCAAAACAGGAAGATTTTACCCAACTTTTCCCTACTGGATCCTAGTCTAAATAATTATGACGTCTTGAAAGGCTATTTTAATTTTTTTTCTGTGACGCCTATCTACGACGACCTAGTGCCAAATAATTATGACGTCTTGGAAGGCTGTTTTAATTTTTTTCTGTGACGCCTATCTACGACGATCTAGTCCCAAATAATTATGACGTCTTGGAAGAGTATTTTAATTTTTCTGTGACACCTATCTACGACAGTCGTTATTGACACAATTGTTTCTTCCCATGCATGTCAGACCCAATGATACATTGATTGATTGTTGGTTGCTTAACATCCAGGGGCAAATATTTCATGCATGTTCAGGACGACCACCAGTGATACATGTAGTATTATCATTAATAGGCCGAGTTTGTAACATGCCAAGTTTGTAATGTGCCGAGTTTGTAATGTGCCGAGATGTCTAGCTTCGCATTTGTGATATTGATAAGACTTTTATGCTTCCAACATTATCAAAAAATAACAGTGCAAAAGACACTTGCAGCCTTAATATATAGGGATAGTAGCTCTTGCCATGGATAGAAAACAAGTGCCTGTGGCTGTGCTGTGCACCCCCTTTTTTTTTTACTTTCTACAGTTAATTTCATATATCTTAAAAAACAACACAAGTTAATCGAGCAATTTGAAAAATGGATTCAAATAACACAAATGTTGGCTAAAATATCTTGTATCAGTGCAATATATTGACAGTAAAATAAGAAGTATCATATTTCAACACGGTCACGGACAACAGACTTGAAAGAGGCGCCCAACACGGCAACAGATGTTTTATTTTCTTCAATCATACTTGTTTTTATCATGGAGAAACTTTTTGGCGTAATGTGCAATTATTATATTACCTTTTTCTTTGTTCTGGAATCTGGATCGAGCTAAATTTCACTGCAAGTTTGTTTTTCACTGTTTTTAAAAAAATCAAGCGGTGAAAGTGCGCATGCTCAGACTTTTCATAGTATGCAGCGGTAAAACCCGAGTACTGCTGAACGTTCCACTATTTATAACCAATCGTAAAAAAACGATAAATGATGACAAAACTTTAATGATATATTAAACAATAAATATTCATACAAAATATATATATTAGAACAATAAAATTGGATTTGTAATATTTTCTTGGACATTTTGGTGCAAATTATGTCTGTGCGGGAAAAAAGGGGGATATTTTGAAAATCGAAAAAATCGTGAATATATTCTAATGAAGGTGAATGTTATATCCAGGAAGACTCATACCCACAAATTTCGTCCCATAAAACCAGATTTAAATGTGTCACTGGTATTCACAGGGTTTGTTCACTACGTTATTATAATGTTGATACGACGTAACAAAATGTTACGTCGGATTATGACAGTTATAAGCACGTTGTCACAACGTAATAAAATGTTACGTCCTGACAGGGTACTAAATTTACGTAAATTCGACGTAATGTTATAACGTCGTCTGTACGTCTGCATCCAACGTTGGGTTTTTACGTTCCCACAACGTTGGTACGACGTAAACTCAAGACATGACGTTCAGACGACCATTAACCGACGTTGGGAGTACGTCGTGTGTTTGCTGGGACGTGCCTAGCGGAGAAGCATATATTTTAAAGTATTTGGTTTAACCATGTCTGTGAACAACTGCTTCTCGCCACTGAGGTTAGCATGTCACCACGAGACAATCGAGACTGTTAAAGGGGTATAAGCTTCATATAAAATATGCATTCGTCTTATTTGTATCTGCATGCATTCCATGGCGAATAAGTAAAAGGCATTCTGTTTACCCCGTTAATTCCAATATAACTGGTTGCAAATGAATATTTATATTTTATAATCAGCGCATATTTACAGCTCCTACCTCGTCATGTGAAGTTGTTTGAATGTCTGGATACAGACACACCTATCCCTCGGTGTATAACTATAACAGAATTTGTACACTGTAATGTAATTAAAGTATAATGTTCGGAACAATAAGTGCCACAGGCTATTTTGAACTAAATGTAGTGTCTAAAATTAGATGAGTAAATGAAGTGTGATAATCATTTCTTTTTTTGATGAAATAATAGCTTTGAAAAATAATAATTTCACTATGTTAGTCTTGCCATTAAAAGAGGCTTCTCAGAGGTGTACAAAGACCACTGCCACTAGACTACTTACATATGTATGCATAGAATGGTCCATCTGTATTGGTCCTCTGAATATATAAAGGACTAGACATAGTTGTTTTAATACATATACCATACCTTCACCATTAGGTGTTATCTTGTTCGATCTGGTATCAAGGTAGTCTGTTAAAAATACAACTTATATTTATGTTTAAATGACATATACAAATGTACATTATTGGGTCATCTTTCCGTATCTGCTGCACTGATATCTATGGCAACAGTTGGTGTTCTGTTTGGGGGAACACTTTAATGACATTTTAGTGAATTTTTTTTTTTTGTAATCTAGACCATACATTTTGGCTCCGACTTGCCATATCCCACAGTCAGATATTATAACAAAATGACACAAATCATTCATCCTGACACTAACAAGAGGAGAATTGTGATAAATGTTCCTTAGACAGTAACGTAACAACACAATGTTTATCACTCGATACGGCACTTTCTATTTTTCTATTTGTTTTAATTGTTACTTCCGTTTTTAGCTATGGTAGTAAATATACTGATATATTAATTGACTTTCTTCTCCCACTTTTTTGATCGGCAAAGTAGATTTAAATCCTACTTTCTAGTCAAGGAATAACTATGGCTCACCATTCCTCGTTATATGTAAGTCTTTATAGGTGTTTTATCATCTTAACTATTATTGCCAATTCTTAATGGTAATGAAACTGTATTGATTGGATGTCAGTCTGTAGACTTTGATTGAACATTATTGTAGAGGGACATTTAACAAACTTACAGATTTTATAATTTGTACAGACAAGTAATAAAATAACAACCCAGAGGAAAAGTTTAGATTTCTAAACGCACTTAAAGCATTATCCGGATGGATAATTCTTATGGAACATTAAAACGTGTAGTTTATATAACAAACTGTTAACACAGAGATATGTCTCGCCTATTTGTTATTTTGATAGTGCAAATGTTGAAATTAAAATAGCAATACTTTATTGATATGTAAGTTATACAAATATTCAAAGTCAATGAACCATGACTGAAGGTACAGTGCTGCACAATCTCCATGGAAATGAGATGTGCCAATACTAATACAACTGTATACCAAATACTACTGAAATCTTATAAGTCGTTCCCTTTAAACAAACACAAACATTAATTTGTAAACTATGTAAAGGTTTCAAAGTCAATGAACCATAATGGGGGTGTGGGGTTATATAATCTCCATGGAATGAAACTTGCAAATGCCAATACATTTGCATACCAAATATCATTGACTTAACATTAGTGGTTCATCTTAAACTGACCTAATCATAAACTAATACATGTAAACGAAGCAAAAGTTTCAAAGTCAATAGACCATGACTGAGGGGGCGGGCCAAAATAATCTCCATGGAAATGAGATATGCCAATGCTTATACAACTGCATACATGTACCAAATATCATTGACTAAACAATAGTGGTTCATCTTAAACTGACCTAATCACAAACTAATACATGTAAACTAAGCAAAAGTTTCAAAGTCAATAGACCATGACTGAGGGGGCGGGCCAAAATAATTTTCGTGGTAATGAGATGTGACAATGCTAATGCAAGTGCATGCCAAATATCATTGACCACTAGTGGTTCACCATAAACTAGACCTAATCACAAACTAATACATTGTTGACGACGCCTCCGCCACCGCCGACGCCGGAAACAGCATACCTATGTCTCGTTTTTTGACTCCGTCAAGGCGAAACAAAAACCTATATGCTATTAACAGCACGGATTCCATTAAAACATTCATCAAACCAACCGTTGGTGAAATATTTTTAACAAAATAAATTATCAGTAGACATATTTTCATTACACTGAAACTTGCTTCATATAACCTTTAGATAAAATAAATAACGACACAGAGGAAAACCTTGTTTTTAGATTTCTAAACCAACTTGCAGCATCATCTGGATGGTTAAGTCTGGGCATTTTGGTTGTGGCTTTGAAAATTGACTGATTCCTTCCATTTGCCATGCTTAGCCTGCAGATTGACCTTATTTAACAAGATTGTTTCTGTAGACCTCTAGCATCACTGAAGAGAAGAAAAAAAAAACTTATATATATCGTATAAAAATAAGAAGATGTGGTATAATTGCCAATGAGACAAGTCTCCACCATAGACCAAATAACATAGAAGTTAACAACTATAGGTCACCTAGTTTGTAAGTTTTTAAATAAAATTTAACTTCACTCTTTTTTAAGTTTGTTGTTGCATATCTTTGACCCTATGACGTAGCATATATATATATGTTTGCAACAGTCTCTACTGTATATTGAAGAACAATATTACATATTACATTTGTCCATGTAGTGCATGAAGTGTTTGACGCTGGTGTCAAAGATGTGCATGAAGAGCTAGATTGTTGTGTCAGTGATGTACCGAAAGTGATTGGTTCTGGTGTCAAAGATGTGCCTGAAGTACTGGAGTCTGCACATTTTGGTAGTGGCTTTGAAAATTGACTGATTCCTTCCATTTGCCAAGCCTGCATATAATGACCTTATTTAACAAGATTGTTTCTGTAGACCGACCTCGAGCATCACTCTAGAGAATAAAAATGTTATACATGTCGTATAAAAATAAGATGTGGTATAATTGCCAACAAGACAACTCTCCACCAGATACCAAAAAACATAGAAGGTTAACAACTATAGGTCACCTAGTTTGTATATTAAAACTTAACTTCACACTTTTTAAAGTTTGTTGTTGTTGCACTTTGACCTTATGACCTAGCATATATATATATGTTTGCAACAGTCTCTACTGCATATTGAAGAACAAATATTACATTTGAATGCATTAGTATGTGAACGGGAAAACAAGAAATAATATATCACCAAAAATAATCAATTCGATATGAAAGAGATCAACAGGTTCTGGTAAAATGTGTCCAGACAGACACAAATTGCTAGTATAAAAGGTCCATGGTTACAGAATTTACTAGTATTTTTAGTCCGGAGTCAGTAAGTAATGTCCTAGGTTTACATGTTCATGTTAAAATCGGTACCGTTTATGCCATTACTGCCACTGGGTTGATACCTCTGCTGCTTGACTGTTAGCCCCGAGGGTATCGCCAGCCCAGTAGCCAGTACCTTGATAAGAATAAGAATATTGTTTGATTAAAATTTGCTGTTATAAAATTTTGGAAATAATTTAAAACTTAGGAATATATCTCCCTCGTGTAAAGCTCTGATTCCTTGTCCGGATTTGGCTATACTTTATGTCATATTTAGTTTGATCCGCTCGTCAGCATTTGTATTTGATTTTGGATATTCAATTACTTTAGTCTTCACTGAACAGGCATTAATTGTCGAAATGCGCATCTGGTGCATTAAAATTGGCATCGGTTATGTCCTTAATATTCCTAGGTGTCCTTTTTTTTCTATGAGAATTTTATATACTGATAGAAATCATTTACTAGTAACCAATGGAATGTTATTTTTCTCATCTTTTATTATTTTATGTAAATGTGTTTTTTTTTTATTTGTGATCATAATATGCATATCATACTGTGTAGCAAATTCTTTAATTTCTTTGGGCAGTATCAATATATAATATGTTAATTAATACTTAATAACCAATGGCATGGATCTTTTTGGCTTTGTCCACAAAGACAGTGATTGTTTCTCCATCTACAAGTAATTCACTTCTTTTCCTTCTCTGAAAAAAAAAGAATCGTGTACTGTAAACTCAATTCTCTTTAATTTGAAGAACTATTTCTTATATGTTTTATGTTAGGATCCTTTTTTAAAGATATTTTTCTAAAGATT